GTTTTTATTCTTTAGAAGGTAGAATGGCCTGAATGTAGTAAATATTAATTTGAAGTTTCTGTACGATTTGGAACCAAAGGGGAAAAGAGCGTTAATTGACTGGGGGTGTAAATGAAGATTTACTTAGTAGCCATTATATAGTGTCCTGTATGTAGGAATGATATGCATGTAGTCGAACGTAAAAACCGTTTAGATGGATTTGAAAGGGTTTGTAGGAAGAAAGTTTCAGATGGTCACTATGTGAAGCGTTCGATCAGAAAGAGTACCTGGTTTGAAAAAAGTCATTTGAGTACGATTTATATTTTGATTTTTACGTGGCTCTGGGTGTACGAAGCGAACTTGAAAATCATGGTAAGTGAATATTTACTTTTGGTAGTGCTTAAATGTATAACATGTTTTTCCTTCTTTATGTTATTTTATTGATTGATTTAAAATGTATTGTTTGTTTCCCAATATTGTAGAATTTGGAGCTCCTTTGACTTTTTAAGTGAAACTATATCGATGTGTACATGGACAAAGGGTACAACTCTAATATACGCCCTAATTTCACCAAATGTGGAGATGTGTTCTGCGCTGGTTTTTGGCACGATTGCGTGTTCCATGGCAACCCTGTTGACGTTGAAAAACTTTCGCTGGAGCTCGTTGATTCGCCTCTGTGTCTGAGAAGATGGAGGGAAAGATAAAATGGTATTGTTGAATTGAAGTTCGGCAAAAGGAAATATCATTGTGGCTATCCTGTTGAGGGTAGTGGGTATTTGGAAGTGTGAAAAAGGGTCTGGGAGATTATTTTTAATGCAGTGCATGATAGAAGTAGGTTTGTGAACCATAGTATAAATTTCTGGATAGTGTGTCTGGTTGTCATGTAAATACGATAGTGATACTGACGGCATGTAAAGGCGGTATAAATTGATATTTCTGCTATCAAAACGCATTAATTCATGGTAAGTGCATTTTATTTTATCCTTGTTCTATTTTGTAAAATGTTATGTTCATTGGTTCTTTAGCATGAATTTCTGTCGTTATTGTTGTTTTTAAAATTGTTTGAAATTTATTTTAGTTTATTTTGTTGTTTAGTGTCTAGACTGTGCAATTCGTAAATGTTTTTCAAAGTTGAAACAGAACGTTGTGTACATGGTATCATTTTAAATTTATTATGTTATTTTATTAAAGCGAGGAGTGCGTAGATCTTAGATTCCTTCCTGCCTAAATTGTGCAATTTGTAGTTTTTTTTTTTAAAGTTTAAACAGGATGCTGGTACCTGTATTCTTTAAATTTATTGTTGTTATGTTTTATTAAAGCGAGGTGTGCGTAGTTTGTAGATTCGTTGTTGCCCTACATCGTGCCATTCGTAGATGTTTTTTTAAGTTAAAGCATGTCGTTGTGTACATGGTTCTTGTCAATATTTTGGTGAGAAACTTTACATTTTTGCTATCTAAATTTTTTGTTTTGGATTTTTAGCTAAATTGTGTGTTCAAAACGTAGTTTTTGCATGTGCGAAAACCGCGTATTTGGAGACATTTTAGAATAAAAGTTCAAAATATAGACAAAAAATTTAGATAGTAATATGGCAGCATGAAGTTTCTCGCCAAAAATATTTGGCGACTTGAGGACGCATATCAGAGTAGCTCCGGACAAAGTAAAGGGAGTGCGCAATGCAAGGTTGTGCAATTCTGGGATTTTTTTTAAAGTGAAAATAGGTCGACGTGTACATGGATAAAGTTAAAAGAGTGTGCAAAGCCATTTTTGTGCAATTCAGGGATTTTTTAAAGTAAAAATAGGTCGACGTGTACATGGATAAAGTCAAAGAAGTGCGCAATGCCATTTTTGTGCAATTCGGGGATTTTTTTTAAGTGAAAATAAGTCGTGCACATGGATACCGAGTTTGTGCAATTGTTTGTCTTGTTATTTTGGTAATTTTTGCTCCAAAAATCGGCGCTTTGCAAGCCAAAATAACGAGTCAAAGAATTGCACAAAATCGGTATCCATGTACCGCCAAAATTTGCTGAGGGGTACCCTAAACTAACTTTTACCAACGGGTTCTTTATGAAGAAACCCTTTAAGTCTCATCAACAGACAGAATTGTAGTGACCCCTACCAAATCATCTTTCCCCTTCAAATAACCTTGAGAGTTATATTCATAACATTAAATGACGCTTCAAAGAAATTTAGTCAGAATTGTAGTGACCCCTACCAAATCATCTTTCCCCTTCAAATAACCTTGAGAGTTATATTCATAACATTAAATGCTTCAAAGAAATTTAGTCTACTAAGGAGATTTAAAATTTGGTAACTGATGCACAGCATAAAATAGCTGCTATTTCATTATTTGCCTTTCATGTATTATCAGGTTAAGGCAATCTGTAACATAGAACTATTTTTACTTTACAAAAAAATGCAAAATAACTTCTACATGATATTCAAGAAAAGCTTCCAGTACTTATTTTAACCCAATACAAAAATATAGTCTTCTCATACTCATTTAAATTATGACATTAATTCATACCTGTTAACCTCGAAAACATGATAAAACTTTTCAGTCATGCAATGATGCCATTCCAAATTGATTTAAAATCCTTTTATAATGCTAGATTAAAGTTAACAACCAAATTACTTAAAATGAAATTCTATACATTATTTAATTAGATATTCTGAATTTTCATTTTTTGTGTAATTTCATCTTTTATACTAAAGAAAAATTCTGAGTAAAGATAAAAAGCTTTTATGTAACGAACTTATTAAATAAAATGAAAAATAAATAATTATTGATAACTCAATAATGTACCATACTTTGATTTTAAATAAAATTTAAAAGCAAATATTAAACTTCATTTGAATTTAATAATTGAATATGACTACTGTGTGGGTTAACCTAATTTATCATATATTCTTGAAAAAAATTAAGCAATAGCTGAATCCTCATAAAAAGTTCTACAAATGTGTACTGCAGGGGTAAAAAGGTAATTGAATTTTACTTCATAATGGGTAAAAATTAAAAGGAAATTTGGAAGCAGTAACAAGAAACAGGAAGTTAGCAGCTATACCAATTCTTTGCAAAGATCAGCCACTGAATCTCATCAAATGAAAAATATCTTGATAACTGCTGAAAAATTATAGTCACTACTAGATGCATTAGCATAGCTTATGACTAATATTTTCATAACAATTATTACAAATCTGTAGAATTACAATTCTGGTCAGCTTTGAATACCTGATACTGTGTGACTTGTAAAACTTTCTTTTCTTTAATGTCAAATTTGTAATGTTAGCGACTACATAACTCCTATCAATTGTTTTATATTTTTACAATAATATCTAGGAATCTAGATACTGACATGCTGCATCAATGAAACAGTGGAAACAGGGGGGATGTTTCCATAACAGGTACTGCACATAACCCGAATTTAAGATATTTTATATACGAGATTACATATATGCATATAAAAAACAGAAGGCTCCTTTGAAACACCTGGTAATGTTAATATGTAATATTTCAAGTAATGCAAATGGAAGCTGTGCATGTGACATTCATTGTGCTGAGTTCACACACATATCTCATTATCAGCCATAACAGCAAGACAAAATAATCATCACATAAAACTATTCCATTTTTAACCCAACAGTATGCCTAAACAAGGAAAATGCCTCATGTGATGGACCTGCTATAAACTTATTATAGTCGGATTGACTTTTGGGACTGAAATCACCGATATGTACAGTCTCCATCTTCCGCCCCTTTCACGGCCAGACACCAGGAACCGAATTATTCCACATATCCATCATAATATTCCTGCAACTTCGCTCGGCTTACTATATAACTGCGCGCTTCTTTAATTATCAAACACATATTAAAATAAAAGTTTTCATGATAAATACTAAATTTTCTGTTAAGGAATTAAATTTTTAAACAAAGGAAATTTCAGTAATAAGATGGAAAACTATTATACAAACTGAGGTGAAAACTAAGAGCGATTAAAATTTAAACTACGAAATGTCCGATAAATTTGTTATCAAATGAATAAAAAGTTTCCTGTCCGAAATATAAATTGCCAACTCACTGCAAATGGGAACAAGGAGGAAAAAGAAAAGCACTCAAAACTAAAGTTTTTTTTGGGCATTAGCATATAACGAGAAATATATTACATATTACATAGCAAATATATCAGATTAGTAAATACTATCCACACGATTAAAAATTTAGACGATTTTTAGCTCTCCCTAGTTACAAAATAATTTAAAACAGAAAACTGTATTATACGAGCAAGAATGAAATTTAAAAAAAAAAAAAAAACTATTAAAAAAAATCAAATTTAGTCCACTACTGCAATGTTTCATCAAGGAATTTCAACTAACATTAGCGTTTAAATCGAATTAAACATAACAGAAATAAACAATGCCAAATCTATAGTGACGATAACGCCAAATTACTACTGACCTGTTAATTGAAGAACACTTTTCTTGTCAATACTTCTCCAACAGTTTTTTAAATTTCTTCACCTTTACATTACAACGAAAATTACAGCAAGCTTCTATACGACTCGGTAGATCAGCCAAAAAATCAGTTTCACAACGATAAATTAATCACCAAGCAAATTACCAAAAATAAAAAAATTCACAGCCTCACTTCTGGCAGAGTTATCAACTACGGGGTCTTCATTCGTTATGAGACGTGTATTCCTGGGATATGATTACGAAGTTGCCAGATACAGTAAGAGTAAATTTTGTGTTCTTTTACTTGTAAATTCCTGGATCCTCGTAATAGCTCACTGAACCACGAAGTTCCAACTAAAAGTACACATAATTTACTCTTTGAACTTACTCTGTATTAACCTATTAACTCACGGTATTAATTATCGGATCGGCTTTTGCCTCAGAACTTTGAAAGAAGAAAAATATATTGCTATTCCAACTTCCATGCAAGAAACCCTGAAAAGAAAAAACTTTCTGAGAGCATTGTTAACCTGTAGATTAGCATTAGAGAACATTAATTAGCAAATATTTCATATTAGAGAATATTCTTTTGGGAGATTACTTTTCAAGATAGTTTTAGGAGATTTTTGAGATAAATTAATTTTTGTCATTTGGCAACTGTGAACCAATATGTGTGTGTTTATGTAAAATTTTTACGATTTTTAATTTGACGGAATTTTTACCTCGTTTTTTTATGGAAACTTGAAAAACCGCACCAGTATGTTATAAAAATTTCAGTGTTTATTCTTTATTCTGAATAATATTGATATTTATTATGTTTTCAGTATAAAGGGACTAGCGTTTGTTGAATTTAAGGGCCATGTCACATATCGACTGGCGAAATGTAACTATTTCTAGACAAAAGTTATTAGAGTGTAACTTTTCTTAAAATAAACGTATACTCTGGATTCTTTTTTCATTGACAATACACAGATTGTAGGTTATATAAAACACATAAAATATAAATTAAATGCGTAATTTTTTTTAAAAACCAGTTGTTTAATTTTCTTACCTTTGACGAATCTTCTGTGACAGTTTGCTAATTTGGTACACTTTTCTTAAAAAATACTCCACCAAACTCTTTCAAATGTTGCACGATGGTTAAAATCATATCATTTAAGAATAATAAGCAGTATTTTACATTTTACTAAAAAGAAAAAATATTAAAAATTAATGAGTAAAATGTTTTGAATATCATAGAAAAAAAATGGTATTAAATTTTTAATATAACCAAAATTGTTTGGCGATGTTTGCATTTACCGCGTTCTCTGCAGAAGTGCTTCCTTTTTCTGTACCATAATCATCTTGAATTGACATTTCTGCATCTAAATTTTTTTTTTTTTTCAATTATGCATCTTTCTGGCAATCTTGAAAAGCTATTGGTAAGCGAGATGCACCTCATGAATTCTATCACGATATATTTTCGCAAAGACTTACTATATAAAATCCAGGTTGTATTGCTAATAATTCCATTACTCTGTACACCATCATTAAAACATATCACATCTAATAAGCCTACTTTTAATGTAATGACACTCAGACAATTTTTGGTATGCATGTCTAGATGCAATTATTAAAACTTTCATTCGTGTTTTGAGTTCTTCCACGAATGCAATTTGACAGTAGTTTTTTTTGTCAAAGAGACATTTAAACTAAAGTGACCACATTTTCATCAAGACAAAGCGGGACAAATGCAATGAAATAAGAACTGTAATTTAGTTATAAAAGCAGACCAATAATTCAAAAAAGGATATATTTTATTATATACATTCATATACTTGTCTATAAATATACAAAAATATATTTATTATTAACTATTGGTAACTATAAAACTATTTGTAAAAAACTATAATTTGAATATTATGCTTTTTAATTTAAAATTTTATTTAAAAAATTATGATAAAATAGAGGAATAACTCCGTCCATTTTTTGTCTGTTTCCACATTTGCAGACAACCAACGTTTAATTTTTTCTTCAGTAATATATCTTTTTACCAATGACACCTTATCAAAAAGATCATTTTTGCAAATATTATTTTTCGGGAAATGGTTACTTATACACTCTTAGACAAAAAACACAGCGCACCAAGGAGTTATCCGAATGGGACGAAAATTGGTAGAAGTGATGCACGTGTACAGAAAAAAATGATTACAGCTTGAGAAAAATTGGATGGTTTATTGAAGTGATAGAGCTTCACAAAGTGAAAAAGTCAGTAACCCGTTTGTCCACCTCTGGCCCTTATGCAAGCAGTTATTTGACTTGGCATCAGTTGATAGAGGTTGCAGATGTCCTCCTGAGAGATATCGAGCCAAATTCTGTCCAACTGATGTGTTAGATCGTAAACATCCTGTATTGGTTGGAGGGCCCTGCCCATAATGCTCCAAACGGGCTCAATAGGATAAAGGGTAAACCCTCTGAGAAGGCTTCCATCCTAACGACAAACCAAGCGAAGTAATACCAGCTCAGAGGAAATTTTGAGAAATCCTGTCGGACCGGACATTTGTAACTTAGACTGAGGTAACGATTGTCTCTTAAGTACCATAGACATCTTGCATGGTGATGCTGTGTACAATTTGCTGATGTATGTTCCTTACAATAAAAATGCGCTGCCTAAAAGGCGAAGTTACATCACATAACACTGCACTTACATTGCATTTAAATTATGCAGATGATAAAACAGTACAGAATACGATACATTACATTACATGAGGTTACAATGTGGTATACAGTACATTGATTAGTGTGCAGTTCACATTTCATTTAAAATAGGCAGATGCGAAACAATACAGTAAATAATATAATAAATTACATTGCTTGAGTATATTCAGTTTTATTTTTGGGACCATATGAAACTGCAGTGAAAATATGAAGGCAAAGCCAGATCTAGCAAAGAAACCCATTTACTAAATTCATAGTGTGTATAAATTTAGATTTCTCTAAATGTGTCTGCATTTAGACTGCATGCAGATTTAGACAGTTCTAGATTTTTACGTCAGTGATGAAATACTAGTCCCCCCCCATTTTTTGATAAAACTATAGATCTAACAGTTTGTTAATTGCCACTTTAGATAGTTCTAGATTTTAAAGTTTGCATTGAAATACTGACTTAATTTTTTACTTATTTATTTATTTAGATAATGCTTTGAATTAACAATTTGTTAATCGCTTGGAATAGTTATTTTTTAAAGAAAAGGCATCATTCATGATAGAAAATTATGAACCATGAAATGAAATTGTATTTTATCAAAAATGCAGCAAAATGGCACAGCAGGAAACAATTCTACAATGAGAAGAAAGGATTAAGAACAAAAAATTGGTTCAAAGAATTGAAAATCCTTTACCTTGTAGATGTTGGGTCCATCTATTTTTGGTGTTAGGCGATGCAGTCTATTGAATTTTGTGAACTCCAACTGAAGATGAACCAATACAACTGCAGACTGGAATAGTTTCGTGCATGAGATGTGTGCCACAGGCTGAATTGCTTGGCTTATCTTGAAAATCTGTAGAGGTGATAAAATTATTGAAATAGACGAAAGCCATTTCAAGTGAAGAAAGAAAACTATTGGGCATGTTCTTCGACCAAAATGAGTTTTCAGAGAAATGAATGTTTATTTGGTTGCTGTTCCAAATTAATTGGTGAAACTTTTATTGAATATCATGAAGGAAAATTTTACTTCTGTAAAACAATATTTGTACCAATTGAAAGCATATAATCAGATAAATTGTAAGATGCTGACTTTGAACAAGTGGAATTTGTAGAACTCGAAAATGGGTGTCATGCACAAACAATAGAGTGGTTGTTGATGCCTCCATCCATATTTTTCCAAATTGATGTGGAGACAGTTGATGCTTATTATGCTTTATTATTTTGTACTGTTTAAGATTTATACACTATTCTTGAACCACAGATCTTAATTTGACCAATTTTTAAAATTCCATTCTTTATCTGTTTTATAAAAAATTAACAGTCTTTATTTATTTTAATTAATAATTTAATTCATTTTGTCACATCTTTTGATTTATAATCCTCTACAAGTAATTCAGAAACATGGTTCAGTTGAAAAGTTTTCTATTCCTTGAAAAAGTCAACAAAAGTTTTCACTTATTTATTTTATTTCATTTTTATTATGTTTTTATATTCATTTGTTCTCAATTTCTATGCATTTTCCTCCTGTCAGATTATTAAATCACCAATATTTTGATTTAATTATTAAATCATTATACCTGGATGATGTACCAACTTTAGTTGTAGCTTAAATTATGAGACGATAAGTTTAAAAAAAAACAGGATCCATTTATTATTATTCAGGAGAAATAGCAGTTACAAAATCAGATATCTGGAGTAACTAAAAAGAATTACTAATAATTTTTTGTATGAAGTTTACTGCATCGTGACATTAAAGAAAAAGCCCCAATATTCCTTTTGCGAGTCCTCTGGAAAGCCTCTGGATAGCCTCTGGAAAGGCGTAGCTTCCAAGAAATGACGTCAGCCAATCCAGTTTGCTTTAAATATTTCCAGAACATTCTATAACTGTACGTGTAGAAAAGGTGGGAAAAACAACTTGACTACGGGGCTGTGGATTTAATTCCACGTACTTTCAAATATATATGGAATGATTTTGAAGCGTAGTCGTGATGGCAGAGTGGCAGGCTGGGAAGATGAACAAAATTATCTCTGTAGATATTTATCCAATCATAATGAAATCTGATACATTTCTGTGACTGAATCATAATGAAATAGGATAAATTTCTATGTACATTGGCTTTTAAAAGAAATGACATAGGCATTTAAGCAAAGGTAAAGCGATGCGGTGTTGACAGAGCAGCAGTTAAGGAAGGGAAGAATATCGTAATTAACTCGTCCACGATATTTATACTAAGTCTGAAGTATAAGTAGAGCTAATCTGTGATTGGTTAATTTGAAGTTGTTAACATCTGATAGAAGATACTCGAATTTGGGAGAACAGAGGAATTTAGGGGGAGATCACCAAACCTAGAATGTTAATTATGAGGTCTCCGATTATTTTTGTGTTCTTGTATCTTAACATTTTCCCCTTTCTCTATATATAGGTAAAAATTACGTATTGGGTGCATGTTGGCAATTCTGGGTGACCCCCCCCCTTTTTTTTTTTTTTTTTTTTTTAATGTCTCCAAACTATTAAAATTGATCAGGCAAAAAATATCAGCATACATGTAAAGAAAGAAAAACATACTTTAGCAATTTAAAATACAAATTTTAATTATTAAATAAGTATTGAATAGTATTTTATGTGATTATTCTATATTATGTGATGATGCATTATTGTTATTCTTCCCACAGCAATCTGTTTTTGCGTAAAAAATAATCAGACTTAGCATTGTGAACTGGATATGATCATCATAAGCTAACAATGAATAAAGTAATGTTATGATATTAAAATCATTATCTAACAATGGAATTGCTAGATTAGAGTGCACTTAATACTTCACTTTAGCTAAAAATAGCCAAATATTTTATTTTATTTATTTATTTATTTTTTTTTTTTTTTGGTTATATATATATATTTATGTAAATTCTAATTTATTTTTCTTCTCCCTTTAATAGAAGCTGACTGAAGTTAATACCTGAAGGACATTTATTTCACAATGGTATGAAATAATTGCAAAATTTTGTTTTAACCATTTAATAATATACTGTAAAATTTATTCTGAAAACTGGTAAATTTATTCAATAATTGGGATTTGGAATAATTAATATTGAATGTTTAAGTAAGAGTTTGTTATACTGCAGAAGATGATTAGTGATTTGAAATGCATGCCAATTTTTTTCATAAATATTAATGGATCATTTTAGCTTACTGAACTTAATGAACAATGCATTGCTAGATTAGCTGTTCATATTTCTAGTCATATTTTGCTTTTAAATGGAAACGACTGATATATTCAATATCTCATGGTGCATAAGCTAAACAGGAAAATGCCCTTATTTTCCATCTGCATGTTATTTAGCAAAAACTGTATTCAGCTTATGTCAAACCTGAAATAATTTGCTTTAGGATAAGGAAACCTCATCCATGTTATTAAAGCATAAAACAAGAAGTATTAAAAATATATTTTTATCTGTCCAGTAGGAAATATGGACTGGGAATTAAATAATCTTACAATGTTGTATATTTTTTGGAATAATCTTCTACTTGTTGAATGAATTCACAATAAATTAAATTTCAGAAATCTCATCTGAAAAGATTTCTCAGAATTTTTACTAATTTCAGTAATGTCTGATTATGTGAATATCCATGAGTTCCGTGTACAGCGCAAAGTCTGAAATCTGTGCGTCCTATATCCAGAATTATCTAAAATCCAGACCTCCAAATCATTAGTAACCTTTAAAAAAATTTTTTTTTGTATGGTTTATGCTTATGCATCTGATATTTTTTTAATAACAAAATGTCAAGAATCCCAATTTCTGATTTCATTTCGGCATTAAATAAAATATAGTTCGACCACCTCATCCAATACATACAGTGCAATTGGTCGGGAAGTGCTGAATTTTAAGCATGATGTTGATGATTTTCGTAAACTTACAGAGCATCTTGGGTCCCATTTCTTTTATCATTTTGTTGCTAATTGTATCCAGTCCTGGACTTTTACGATTTTTCGTCTTCTCGATATAACTACTAACTTCTGAAGGCATGATTAAGGGTGTGTTGTTTGTGTGTGTTCTTGATTGGAATTGTGTATTGAGGGGAAGACTAAGTGTTCTGTTTGTGGGTGAGAGATGTTGTATGTACGAAATTGAGAAGCATAGTTTTCTGCAATAGACTCAGCTTTCTCAAAATCAGTGTATGCGATCCCATTGGGGCTGTTAATGGGCGGAATATTGGTGTTGTGTCTCTTAAATTTAGAAAGTGCATTCCAGATCGAATTATCATCCGCTGAAAGCGATTCTAATTGTGTGGCCCAGTCAAGTTGTGCATGTTTTTTTATTAGAGTCCTGATTTGCTGATTTAGCTGGTTTAATAAAATTTTATCAGAAGGACATCTGAATTTTTGCCATTGCTTACGTGTGTGGTTCCTTCTTCTAATCAGTTCTCTGATGTCACTGTTTTTATATCTCTTGTCTGCTCTTGCAGTTCTGCTGTTTTTATATCTCTTGTCTGCTCTTGCAGTTTTGCTGTTTTTAACGAGTGCATCATGCAGCTCTTCTGTGAATTCTTCAGTGAGGGCGTCTAACTCATCTCTCGTTTGTACTGTATTTGTTGGGTACTGGGTGTTGTTTAGAGCTTTGTCATAACCTGCCCAGTTTGTAATAAGGGCTCTTTTGTGTGGTGTACTGTAGGCATTGGTATTAGTTTCCATTATCACAGGATTGTGGTCAGATGACATTTCAGTCAAACTTTCAATATAACTCAGTGAGTTAATATTTTTTAGGATGAAAAAGTCAATGACCGATGGTCTACCAATCCCACAGTGTGTTGGTTTATCTGGAAATGCTAGGTTAATATTGGCCTCTTGGGCAAATTGACTAATAATGCATCCATGTTGATTAATATCCCAGCAATTCCACTCGTGGTGGTGTGCGTTGAAATCTCCACCTATAATGACTCGATTGTTAATATTTAGTAGTGTTTGCAAATCTGTTTTAACAGTATTTGTAGGTGTGTGTATAGGAAAATAGGTGGAGATAATAGTGATTGGTCGTGATGTGTTTGGGGTGAGTGTAATAGCGCTAGGGCTTCAATTGCTAAAAGCTGTGGTAATGGTGTGACATAATGAGAAATGGAGCACTTAATCAAAATAAGTAATCCACCTCCTGCATTACCTCTAGGCGCATATCTGCCTACAGTTGATCTGTCCCATCTGTGCGTGACATAATTGCAGGCTCTAAAATAATTTTGAGGGCCAAGCATGTGTTCTTGTAGGAGTAGAATATTGGGGGCAAATTCATGTATAAACTCCTTGAGCTCGTAAGCTTTCGGGAGCAATCCATTTGCATTCCACGTAATTATAGTTAAAGACATACTTTGACTACACTGATACATTATGAATTTCATTAACTATATCAAAAAATAAGAACAGTGTATCCGCAGGATCCGTTAATTCTCTCAGCTTAGGCATGAAAGTTTTAAATACATTATTCATTATATTTATGTTATGAATTCCAAAAATATTAAATTCTGCTACATTCTTAACAAAATTTACAAATTCTGAGCATTGATTTTTTTCCTGCGGAGAACTGGAGTCATTATTTTCAGAAGGGATTTGCTTAACACTGTTTACATTAGAAACATTTAAATTTTTCAGAGCATTACTAATATCAGCAACATTGAATTGTACATTATTCTTAATTGACTGGTTTGCTGCAGCAGTAGCCGAGCTGGGGATTTGCATATTAGCTTTATCTTTAAAATTTGGAATTTGATTCCTTGTCATAGCTGCATATGAGATTCCATTTTTTACAGTGCTATCTTTTTTCTGTTGGTTACCCTTATTTTTAGGGAACTTTTCGCATCCACGATACGATGCGACATGATTTTTTTGACAATTGCTGCATTTTGGCTCTTCAATGCGTCCCTTAGTTGGACAGTCCATAGTCTTGTGTTCTAATGAGCATTTCACACATCTAGGTGCGAAGAAGCAGTTCTCCGAAGAATGGTGCCACTTTTGGCAATTATAGCACTGTGGCACCTGGTTCTTGGATACGTACTTCTCCACAGTCACAGCAAACAGTAGCAATTCAGTAATATGAAAAATTTGATCAGACTTTTCATTTTTCATCACTTGCACCAGAAATAATGGCATGGGGGCACGTGTTCTCCATCTCGTCAGTTGAGTCACCTTGCTTATGGCGAATCCTTTGGCTGCCAGTTCATTTGCTATGTCATCAGTTTTCGTAGTGTTAGACAATCCTCTGAAAACTACTTTAATGGGTCGAGCATAGTTCGCATTAGTCACATAATGTTCGATCTATTTTTCTTGAAATAGAGCACTAAGCATTCTGTGATCCTCAGCTGTTCGTGGTAGAATTTTTAGCAGCTCACCATTAACTTTTCCGAGAAATTTAGATTCAGTCATTAAAGCCAAATTTTTGAGAAATTCCTCATGTTTAAATTTGCTCGGGTTTACCATTATGGGTGGGACAGTCTGAGACTGGGTATTTGTCGGCTGCTGCTGCATTGCCTGTTGACTGGGGGTATCATTACTAGCCATTTCAGTATTATCATCATTTAACACATTAAATTTATTACATTCTACATTCAGAGGTACTTTTTCTAATTTTTGAAGCTTAGCAGTTTTAGTTAGTAATTTAAAACCTTCATCATCAGTTTTCTTATAATTACTATTAATTTTACGTTTCACCTTAACATCACTATTTTTTCTCTTAAGAGTAAGAACATTTTGGGAGGCCAATGCCTGAATTACAAGGAAGATTACACTTACCTTTTATATCTGCAGCCTGAGCATTTGTAGAGCTTTCTGAAGTGGTTCCGTAGTCGTATCCGCATCCGTAACTGGTCGTAACTTCTGGCACTCCGTAATCGTAGTCTTGATCGCAGCAATCTTGACTTCCAAATCGTTGTGAAGATTAATCCAGTAGTCATTATCGTTTGTATCCAAAATATCCACGTGCAATAATCCAACACAGCTTTTCCTAATAGAAGGCAACTCCGCAGGGGCGCTAACATCCATCAAGAGATTGACATCGTCGTTCGTTTAACTCGTCGCAGTCGAAGCGCTCCTGATGAGCAACCTACACTCGCGAGGATGAAGGACCGAATCCATACATCTCAAACTGAAGCATTCTACATTGAAACTGTTGATTTTCTGAGATCTAATATGTTTTTCTGTCATGAAATCGTAACTAGATCTACTGAAGTTTTAAAACCTTGGTAATTCCTGCAGAGGTGGGAAGATGAACACAACAGGGAAAAGGCATAAAAGACCTTTTTATTTATCACAAAATGTTTAACAGAAGGCACTAACTTACGTGCATACAAAACAGCACCGACCACTTGCGGTGAGAACTTATAATGATAATGTAATGTAGTAATAAATTTAAAAGGTGACGATGTATTGCTAGACTACACAATTCAATTAATTCTAACAAGCTGACTTGGAACCTACACCGATGATATACTAACTAGACCTCCAGAATGCATAGCCGTTACTAAGATTAACATGCATTTTCACTAGCAAAATCATGCTCTAAATAACCTTTTCATTCTAACAGTTTAAATACTTCATTTGCATCCTGACAGGGAAATGCAAAAGGAAATATGAGAATTCAGGAAAGGTTCATAAATTAAAATAACTATTAGTAAAACTAAATAGGATCTTGCAATTTAACTGGATAATTTATTTCCGTGGTGCCAACCTGGCAAATCATTGTTTGTTATTTTTTTGCTTTCATCACCATGTGATTGTCAACACATGACAGCTTAAGGATTGTCTCGCGTAGAGATATCTAAACAATATTTTTTAAAAAATATTAATAATTGAATACCAAAGTGCAGGGTAACCTTTTATGTTAACATTAATGCTTTGGGTGATTACAGACTTCAGCTAACTCCACTGCAAAGTGTTAAGTGTGTTGACAAAATATGCAAAAAATCATAAATGATACTAATAGGCCAAAAGATGACATTAAGTGCTGTTTGAATTGAAAATAACTGATTTGTTATTTAAATAAACCCAGGCTCGGATCCAGAGCAGGTGCAGCTGCACTGGACAATAGAATTTAGGGAAGGCAAAATTTTTAGAATTTAGAAAAGCACCGAGCAACAAAATTCAAAGGTGGCAAAATCTGATGAGGGAAGGTACTGGGGTGCAAAATTTTTAGAATTTAGGGAGGTGCTTGATAGCAGAATTTCCCAGACCCTCAGATACTGCACCGGTCCCTCAAAATGTGTAGCACCAGCCTAAGATAAGGCTTAAGTATATGTGAGAATTAATTTTATTTGGGACTCAGATGAATTTTCAGTGTGTGCAGGAAATAGGCATAAGTGTAATAAATAACTAAATTTAGACTTGACTTTGTCAGCGTGCAATAGAATGCAACAACTTGTCTTCAGTCGCCAATCTTATATGTCAGCAGTAGTGTATAGCAGATACTAGCTAAGATTTATGATAATTTGAAGATTTTCAGATATTGAAAAAAAGAAAAATGTAAAATTTTTAATGTAATGGAATTAGTGAAGAAATGTGGAAACATGGTTATAAACAAAGATGATTTAACATAAGTTTTCCCATTACAATGACAGTGCGCTATCATCAGTCAACTAAAAGACTGTAAAATCTGTAGTATGGTTCTTCTCTTCTTCTTCATTAGCTCAGCAGCACAGTGTGGGCCCTGACCTTCTCCAGAAGTCTTCTCCAAGCATCTTCGCTTTTGGCAACTGTTTTCCAGTTTTCGACTTACAATTAGGTCATTTTCAACACAATCTTTCCATCTCACTGGTGTTTCCAAGGTCTGATTCTCATGGGCTTTGCCTAATCATTCTGGCCAGATGACCATCTTATTTAAGTCTCTGTAGTTTGAGGAATTTTACTACATCAGGTTGTCTATAATGTTATTGTCTAATAACAAACAATGATTTGCCAGGTTGGAACCAGGGAAATAAATTATCCAGTAAAATTGCAGGATCCTATTTAGTTTTACTAATAGTTATTTTAATTTATGAACCTTTCCTGAATTCTCATATTTCCCTTCGCATTTCGCTGCCAGGATGCAAATGAAGTATTTAAACTGTTAGAATGAAAAGGTTCTTTAGAGCATGATTTTGCTAGTGAAAACGCATGTTAATCTTAGTAACGGCTATGTATTCTGGAAGTCTAGTTAGTATATCTAATATTATTAGTAATCTAATTTACAGTAATATAGATCTTATATTACTGTAAATTAGATCTTTGTCTCCACGATCCATTCACATGGACCCGACCAAGTATACAATGTGATGTCTTTCTTTCAAAAATCCCCAAAGCTTCCTTATCATATAACCTGTGTTTGGCACATATGGCCTTTAGAGCTTTGCACTAGAAATCCATTACCTCCACCATCACCTTATCATATAAAGTCAGTGCCCAAGCTTCTAATAAGTAGAACAGATGAGATCTTATAAGACTTAGAATAGATCTCATAAGATCTACAGGACAGCTTTCATGAGAATCTTCTAAACAAGTAATTTAGTTCTTAACTTGAGAAAGTTAAATTTTAAATTGCTATTCAGGCCATGAAAATATCACGCAGGCCATCTACCTTAGTACCATGCCTTCATGAACTTTTACAAAATCTTGACAGAATTGCTCGCCCTTCTTATCACTCACTGCACCAAGATTTTTCGGGAAGTTTTCATGGCTATCTAAAAAATGCAATCTGTTGCTTATGTAGTGATCAAGCATTTTGAAGCTGTCCAAAAGTTGCTGGATAATTTTGCTGTAATTCTGTGCTTATGTATTTCCAAAAAAGTCTTTGACAGTATTTTTTAATGCCATTCAAGCACTCTTTTGAAGTTCTGTCATAGTTCCAATAAAATTTTCATCTTTAAAGAGTTTCTGAATATGTGGACCATTAAACACAGTTTTATCTTTTCAAATGACAGTTTAGGAAATACCAAAGTAAGAGACTTGAAACAGTCCTTCTTTAGTTGGCAAGGCTTTAATGAATTGCTTCAATGCAGATGTGGAAATATAAAATTCTTTTTGTCAAAAAGCGGCTGTAGAATGGTTCAATCACTAGGTTTCAGGTCAGATCTTGGTGTACATTTCGACTGCAGAAAGCACAATTTGAATTTCCGTCAATTGGCCCAGTAGAATGGGAGATATAGAACTGCCCCCCTCTCTTTTTTTGCGCAGTGTACCATACAAATGAAATTATGTGGAACATGGGGAGAGGATTATGATAAAAACTAATTTATTACTTTTTTGATATAAAGTAATTTAGCTGTTGTTGGAATTTAATCTTTATACAAATTTTATAATTTGCAAAGGGTTCAGTTGCAAATTAATGCAAAAAAATTTTAGTTTTGATATTAAAATTAGATGCTTGGTAGTCATCTTGGTCTTGGTTGTGTTAGAAAGTAGTTGCCTTGGAGACTATTAATCATTATCAGTAGTATTTATTTGTGTTTTCTGATATACTGGTTGCATTCTTAGGTGGTTGTGTAGGATTGTCTGTAAGAGGTTATTGCCGTGCATTGATGTGCAAGCTGACAGTTTTTTTCTTTTCTATCCCCCCTCTTATAAAATCCAGAATGTTAATGTTCTCATGTTTTGAATTGTTGTTTAAAAGTTTGAATTGTTGTAAAAAACCGTGTATATAAAAATAATTTTAGTTGCAGTTGCAAGGGTGGAAAAACTTAAATTGAGTTTATTAATTTTTTAATGAGTATATATAAAAATGCTGGAGTATACTTTTTCATTAATGTGGTGCCAGTTAATAATGATGTGTCAAAGTGGCAAGTGTTTGAACCAGTTTATTTCACTAACTGTGTAACTTTGCAATGATCCACTGTGAACGAGTGGGAATGAGCATCAGTCTAATAATTGTCATTCTAAGGTTTTATGTTAGCTTTTTGTTAAATGCTGATTAATTTTATGGAATGAACACAATTTGGCTATATAGAGTAAAGAAGTGAACAGAACTAGTCATCATTATTTAGGTGAGGAGTTCTATTTAATTTGATTCATTTAGTTTGATTGTGTGAGGAGATGCAATTTTTTGTGTTAATTGAAATTAACAGTTTTATACTTACTGTGTAATCTGAAATTAATGGGCAAAACCTATTTTGTACTTTTATTTGTAAATTTTTACATTTATTTTCCATTTTCTGAAATAGTTACTTTTTTCATGAAATAGCTATACAGTCAAAAGTCTTTAATCCGGACGTCCATAATCTGGAATGATCTATAATCCGGACTTCAACTTTCTGCGCATGTGCATAATACCTGTCTCATGTGCATAATATGCTTAGACATGCGCTTTTAATGTATAACGGACAGTATAAGCTAAGCTAAAATTATCTAATTATCTATTTCAGTTAATGTCGCATATTGCGTTGTTCCTTAATCTTCTAATGTTTCGATGTCCATCAAACAAAAAGTGGAATTGCTGCAAAAAATGGATAAAGGCATAGCCTTTGTTTCTCTAACCAGTCCGAAATGTGTTTATCAATTTTTTTGCTGCTCTGCTCGCGGCGCACAATGAACTGGAAGTTGATCTGTCAGCACTATCCTTATCTTCAGGTCAGATTTTTTTTTATTCGGCTTATAATTCCTTACTAAATGTAGTATTTCATCTCGATGTACTACATCTTTGATATGATTTAAATCAAATTCCTTGTCATTATAAATATCACGAATACACATCAAATAGTTTTCTGGTTGCAATTTTCTAATTTCGACTATGCGTAATGTATGCTTTATGCATGTGCACGATGGAAGAAATGTTTAATAAAGTAAACAAATAAAAATTAAGCTTTTTTTTGTAAATTTTGATACCTTTTAGATCATAATTGCTCTTTATTTCATAAATTACGGTTTCATATTTTTAATTTCATAATTTCTGCATGCCATCTTACCAGATTCAAACTGATGATCTATAATCCAGAAAAGCCGATAATCCGGAATCACCGAAGTTCCGACGAGTCTGGATTAAAGACTTTTGACTGTATATAATTTTCATGAAGAAAGTTTCTATTTCTTTCTGTAGTTGGATACCATGCCAGCATTTGTTAACACTTTACCGACCACTAGCATACGCACATCCGACCGGCCGCTCAGCCGCAAATTCTCCCTGTCCTGAATAACTGTCAGGAGAATCTGATAAATCCTCTAAATAAAACTCTTCAGCACTATTTTTTTCATTCATCATAAGCGTTAAATTTTTTTAAATGGTGTGAAAATGTGGAGTTACGAAACAATGCTCAGAACGCAAGTGAGCAATGTACCTCAATACTAATAATAAAATGCAGATGATATAGCAAATAGCAATTGTTTATCACTATGACTACCGATTGATAGACTATTTTTAGGTAGCCCCGAGAAATAAGCGATTAATACGCTATCAGTCGGTAGGCGTTGGCAAAAAAAATTATTAATAGGCTATCAATCGGTGGGCATTGATGAAAGAAAGCCGATTAATGAGTTGTTGGTCAGTAGGTGTTTGCTATAAAAAGCCGATTAATAGGTTGTCGGCCAGTAGGCATTGGCAATAAAAAGCTGATTAATAAGCGATCGGTCGGTAAAGTGTTAAGTGATATCCTGGTAACTGACAAATACCAAATATCTAATCATATTTATGTAGCATTTCATATCAGAAAGTAAGTGAAATTAACAACTTTAACTTTCAGTTACAAGTAAAGGTACATTTCTATAATGCAAGAATTAGAAGGAACTTTTGTAATTGCTAATTATTTATAACTATGATTCATGAATCTGCCAATATAAACATTTTTATTCAACTATCAGTGCTGAATATATATGAAAAGTATATAAACTTTATAAATAGTGCTGAATCAATTTATTTATTAGGTAAAAAAGTCCTCAAAGAAGAGGAAATCTTATGAAAGTGGAAGTGAGTATGACCTGTGTCATGAAGAAAAACATGACAAACATAAACACAGGAGTGATAAATTAAAGTAAGTAATATATTAATGCAATTTTTATTGTTAATTCAAAATTGTATTTGTGTAAATGCATTAGTGTTCAAACCGATGTTGTTGAATTAATCAGTGTTGGATCTCTGATGATATGATCGTGAGTGTTCATTTTTTTAGTTAATGGTTATGGTAAATTGTCAAAATTATCTATTATTTTCTTTGTAAACTAAGCCATTGACTTATCCTTTTTTTAAAAATGGGATAGTTTCACTCATGTATTTTATATATGTTTTAATGAATAATTCAGAATAAATTGTATTACTAATAATATTTCCTAGGAAGAAAATCAAATCTGTATTCCTTATAATAAATGAAATTCAGATTGCAACTATTATTTAACCTTTTTTTATGGTGATATCCTAATATTATTATCTTTAAATTTCAGTATTTCTATAGTGGCAATTTTCAGAATATTTTTGAATTGTAAATTTTTATTGCTAAAAGGTAAAACTATACAGTTTATATATGTGTTATGCAATTGAAATGTGAAATTCATCTGTTGAACATTTTTATGATTTTCGAAATTAAACAAATGGAATGACCTATTTTTGTTGCATTTAAAACATTTGTTAATGTAAGTGCTTTTAAATTATGTACCATTTTTATTTCCTTGTACAAAGTAAAGGACATATTATAATCACAAAAACTTTCAGGTACTATATTTTAATGAAAATATCTATTTTGACCACTATCGAAGGCAATTTAATGATGTTTTTGGACGACATCTGTATGTAAGGACCGAATAAAGGACTCTTTTTCTCAAAACAAATTATAAAACTAATTTAAAATGGCTTCAGAAGAGATTTTTTCATGGTGTTTGTACGTACGTATGTGTCTGACATAACTTGAAAACGAGTAGCCTCAGAACATTTCAATTTTGTATATAGGACTGCTATAGCATGTACTTGTACATCTCCCTTTTTGGTGGCAATTGCCACACCAAAAATATATAAATTATATATATATATATATGTATACTCACTCTGCTACTCGGCTCACTCAGCTCAGTTTTTTTTGTTCTTTTATGTTGGTAAATTATGCATTTTTTTTTTTTTTTTTTGCTTTAAAAAAGCTTGAGTTATGTTGTTCTTATCTTCTGGTTACGGATTTTGTGCCTTTAATTAACTTCCATGCAATAGTTGTAGAATTATCTGCAATTTAAAAGTTGTTTAAGTGTAGCTAAGCCTAATTGTTTTTATATATTTATTTACATTTGAAACTTAGCAGAATAGTATATTTGTTGCCAGTCTACAGAAACTAAGCTTCACATCAATGAAAATATCATCTTTTATTATTGTGAATGAAATCATGCTTAATCCATTCTGGAATTATCATTTAAGTTATTTAGTTATCCCATATATTGACACAGCATAGCATCCACAGCAAATTAAGTCAGTTTCTACGCCTTCAGTGCCTTTTTGCCGAGTGAAACCAAAAGTAAACTTTCAGTTTTGTGGACCGAAAATTCTGAGAAATATATCTCTAATGAATTTCAAGGAAATAAGTTTAAACAAAATGTAGGAAAAATGCGTATAATTTAATATTCCTTACAAGGAAGTCATGGGGTGTTACACATCAGACTTTTTAATTAATAATACTATTAATAAATTCTCATTAATTGTATTTAAAGGATTTTTTTTAAATGTGTGCCACTCTAAATTTTAGTAATTTAAAAAATATCTGTTGTTAAAAAAATTATCATATTGAAAATTTTGGCTATGCTTTTTGTATTTAACAATCTTAAATTGCAACACTTTGAAATAATGTTTATTATTGAATTAAGATTGTGATTTACTGAAGAAATAATGTGCTAGTAAAAAATTGTTACTTACATATTATTTCATCGACTGTGAAACTGTCACCAATCATGATTTAGCGCCGGTTGGAGATAATCATGACTTTGCAACACAATTATAACATCTCTGCTTTTGTCTGGTATAATCCCTATTTATTCTCAATTATCCACCTTTTGTCATCAAAGATATAAATTAATTGTTATCGCTATAGTTTTTCCTGCATTTTGATGAAAATGAGTTCAAGGGCAGTAGAATCACATTTGTGACTATACTCAACTTTAAATAAAACAGACAAATACAGTCAAAAGTCTTTAATCCGGACTCGTCGGGACTTTGCCGATTCCGGATTATAGATCGTCAGTTTAAATCTGGTAAAGTGGCATGCAGAAATTATAAAATTAAAAATATGAAACCATAATTTATGAAATAAAGAGCAATTATGATCTAAAGGGTAACAAAATTTACAAAAAAAAAAAAAAAAAAAAAAAAAAAAAGGAGCTTAATATTTATTTGTTTACTTTATTCAACATTTCTTTCAACGTGTGCATGGGTAAAGCATACATTACGCATAGTGGAAATTAGAAAATTGGAACCAGAAAACTATTTGATGTGTATTCGTGATATTTACAATGACGAGGAATTTGATTTAAATCATATCAAAGATGGAGTACATCGAGATGAAATACTACATTTAGTAAGGAATTGTAAGCCAAATAAAATAAAAACATCTGCCCTGAAGATAAGGATAGTGCTGACAGATCAACTTCCAGTTCGTTGTGAGCCGCGTCAACCCCCCCTCCCCTGCATAGCAGCGTGAAATTGATAAACATATTTCAGAATGGTTAGAGAATCAAAGGATATGTGTTTATCCATTTTTTGCAGCAATTCCACTTTTTGTTTGATGGACATTGAAACATGCTTTCACTTTGTAGATCCTTTGGTAGCTCCAGAATCGGAAATTCTTTTTGACATAATCGAAAGTTCAAGCTTACTTTTATAAAATTGCTCTAACAATCTGCAAAAAATAACAAGCCGGATCCAATTAGAAGATTAAGGAACAACGCAATCTGCAACATTAACTCAAATAGATAATTAGATAATTTTAGCTTAGCTTATACCGTGTGTTATACATTAAACGTGCATACGTAAACGTATTATGCGCATGCGTTAACGCATTATGCGTTGACGCAAGCGCAGAAAGTTTGTAGCTTTGAGGTCCGGATTATAGATCATTCCGCATTATGGACTGGACGTCTGGATTAAAGACTTTTGACTTTAGTCACTTTATTTACAGTTGGTTGAAAGGATTAACATCTGTTAAAAGGGGCGAATGAGCAATTGCATATGGCTGATGAAACAGTATTAGATTGGAAAAATCACCTGTTGGAAGTTTGTGTTCTGCCTTTCTAAACAGAGTTTCCGGTAACAGTGAATAACCTACAAAATAGTAAAAATTAATGAAAGCCATTTTGCAAAGCATGAGAATAAAGTGTTTTAAATACTGCTTTGCCAGCCGAAAGAGACTGGTCGCGTGATTTACTGATCGCTCTGATTTGTTTCTCGGAGTGAAAATGGGGAAGATGGGTAGCTGCAGATGAGTTCCGTTGTGCAATACAAAGAGTCTCTTGCTTAAATGCCGACAAAAATAAATCAAAACAAACAACGTATAAAGGGGAGATGCATAAAATGGAAAATTACTGAACAAAAATCAGTTTAAAATTATCACGAGAATAACATACACACACACAGAATAAAAAACACATCTATAATAAACTTTTAGAATTTATTTTAACGATTGTAAGCTAAAATAATTGCTGTAAACATGTCTGAAAAATTAATTACACTAATTATTTGCATTAAAAATTAATTATTTGCATTGAAGTCTTTAAAATAGTACAAAATTTAAGAATTTCTTACTTTGGGTTTCATTAAGCAATTATGCAAAAACAATAATAAAAATATTTCAGTTGGAAATTTAACCTTCGTTCTCTGTCGAATTGTCTAAAAAACATTTTGAATCGTCATCATCGTCCAAGGAAATAACTAAAGAGTCGCACATTTCTTCAAGTCCATCTTTTTCCCAGTAAGCGTTTTCCAAACTTTCTACGTGTGCACAATAGTTCTTCCATTTTTCAATTGTAACATTTTCTATAGTGTGTTCAGTAAGCTTTAAGAGTTTTTCCATGTTTATATCTGCTGTTATGTTTTGTGCACGAATAAAATGTTTGATATCTGCCCAAACATACTCTATAGCATTTATGCCACAGTGATATGGTGGCAGTCTCAATGCTGTGAATCCATGTTCTTCTAACATGACATCAAATTTATATGTTTTTTCGGTGGCAAATGTTCTTTAACAATGTTCAACAGTTCGATCTTTCACATATTTGGTGAGTACACAATATTGTTTGAAGTAAGCCAATCCATTATACTCTGCTTATTATGAGATGAATTTGGGGGCTTGTTCAGTTGCACTGAATGGTAGGGAGCATTGTCTATTACAACAACGGAATCCTTTGGTAAATTCGGAATCAATTTTTCTGTTGCCCATTTCTCAAATATATTCGAATTCATTTGCCCGTGGTAATCTCCTGTGCTACAATTAGCTTTATAAATTAAGTTTGTGTTTGGAATAAATCCAATTTCCCCACCTGGGCATAAAACGATGATTCGCCTTGATGCTGCTCCCGTCTCCACAGCTCCGAATACTTCCTCCAACTGCCAACATTTTCCAACCGTCAAATTACTATCGATCCAAGTTTCATCTATGAAAATAAGAAACCTTTTCTCTTTTCTGAATCTGTGAATATTTCTCAAATATCTCGTTCGCGAAAGTGCTATATCATTTCGTTCCATGATGACTTTTCTTTTATTTTTACAATTTTTCCAACGGAATCAGATTTCATGAAGTATCTTTTGTAGGGTTTCTTTCTCTCTTGGAAAATTTATTTTTTCCTTTAACTTTATCAATAATTTTGGAACCGTTGGTACCTTTTTCTCCATCACATAAAACTCCTGGACAGTTCTCCTTATTACATCGAGATCAAAAGCCACATTTTCTATCGTTTTCTTTACAGTACGCTTCTTAGGCGAAGGAAAACTGGGGGGATCATTTCAGTTGCCTTCTTTACGAATTCTTCTGATGGTGCTCTCTGATACATCGGCGATAGCAGAAGCTCATTTAGTAGCATGCGATAATAAGATACATACAGAACCCTTATCTTCTTCATTATCACAAAGTGTAACAACATTGTGCAAAATTCCTTTGATCGAGCTTCAAAAGTTCTTGCCTTTTGAATTCGATGATGCTTTGGAATCCATGAGCAAAAATACCAAACAAAAAACACAAAAGTATTAGACAATAATTAATTGTGACTGATACAACGATCTTGAGATGGAAAGAACTAAATTTAAACAAGTGCAAAAGGGAGAAGCTAAGAACACTCTGAGATCACTGAAGGAAATTCCAAGCAAGTGTATTTTTCCGTCCCTCTAGACCTTCCTTTCTCCCTCCTGGCTTGTTCCATTTTCTTCACAGCGTGCCAAACCCAGTCTCTCTCGCTTGGACAAGCAGTAATTCCACTGTAGTGGCTGTTTGGTTGATTGTGTAGAGAGACTGATGGTTTATTGTTAAGAGCTGTGGATAAAAGTGTGACCGATTGGCACAATAGTTGGCAACTTTTATGGTTTGATGCTATTGTGAAAACTAGTTGCCTGCTTAATACATTAATTTTATTTTACAGTTCATAAATTTTATTTAACAATACATAAATACCAATAAATTTGATTTTAATTTGAATTAATATATTAATTAATTTTCGATTATTGTTTAATTATATTATTCATAATCACTCCTAACATTTCAACTTTCCTTGGAAATCTCAATCTTCAGTGGAGAAAACAACTACGATTATAGTTATAATAGTAATGCGATTTGGGAAAGTGGTTTTTGTCATATGTAATTGGCAAATTTTGTGTTTTCAAGTGGTACCGTAATTAATTTACCTCTCAGCACAGTCAACGTGCATTACGCAGATAGACTGGAATTTTCTTAAAACACACCTGGAAAACCTGGAAAAGTCAGAGAATTTCATTCTCATGTTTGAGTGGCAACCCTAAATTAGCTACTTATTGTGATAAATGAATTCTTGCTTTCCTGATCAGTATTTATTTCTTATGCTGATTTACCAACCAATAACTGATCAGTTTCTCCCACTTAATATTTAGATTTTTTTTTTTTTTTTTTTTTTTAAATTTCAGTAAAAAGCACAACAATTATGAAGATACTGGAGAGGATTATGAAATACGAAAGGTATGGTGGAATTCTTTATATCATAAAATTGAGTACTTTTCTATTAAAATGGTGCTATATAACGCTCTAAACATGAATATGGGTGGGGAATCTAACAGATGGTAGCAATCTTGATGATACATAAATCTTCAGGAAAAGAATAACTATTTCATATTTAATGTTTAATATAAGCAATACAAAAGCTGCGCACTATAAACATGATATCTATTGTTATGAATTTTATACATAGACAGATGATTTCACTGCAACTATACGTAAAATTGTTGTATTTTTCTGTGTGATGTATCATGGAAAAAATCTAGAGAGAGAAGCTATGCCAAAAAAGTAAGAATACAGGGGCAATAAGATTGTGTAATTGGGTATCACAGTAATTTGGCGTGATATCGCTAAGCTGGCAACAGTGTTGCTGACTAATTTTTGTTGCCAGATTTGGTGAGAGATCACAAAAAGTCACCAAACGTGGTGACCATTTGACAACATTTTGGTCCAGTCCCTGTAGTAGGTATTGTAATTGAATAAATGTACTTGATCACTATATTAGCTGTAATCATAATTCGACCTTCATATTGCCTCCCAATAAGTTTGAGTAGCGGAAAGTACTAGAAATATCTCAGTAGCCGGGTAAAAACTATCTAATGTCGCTAAGAGCACCTACTCTCTGATGGAATGGGAGTGGCCAGAAATGAACTGTAAAGTGTTCGAACTGTGGTGCTGAAGGCCACATACGGCGGAACTGCAGAACACCCCAGGGCACAGAAGTTAAGACTTTGCCTATTGAGAAAGAGGGAAACTAATTAATGGCCATCTCGCAGGACAGAAATTGCTAGATAATGAAAAGTCCCATTTTGAAGTGCTTCATATTTCTGCAATGAGTGGTGGCAGTAATGGACTCATCATCATGGAACATATCAATGGAATTCCTTGCAATATGACCATTGATACAGGAGCCAATGTTTCTATCATCTGAAAAGTTCTGGCTTAAGAACTGTAAGATGAACTCATTTGGACAGCGCCCTGTGTTACCCCCCAGACTGTGTCTGGGCAGAAAATCGACATGGACAGAAAATTAAACATTAACATCATATTTGGAAGTGCTGCCTACCATCGCATGGCATATGTGGCAGATATTACAGATCCTTGCAAACTCAGATTGGACTCTAAGGAAATACAATTTTTCCTTGGACTATAAAAAAGTCACAAGGTGCATTCTGCCTCTGAGGACATAACCATATTCGGAATTAATGAGGAAGGAGTTAAATCTGTCCATCAAGTCATAGCTCAAGATGATATCACAGTACCAGCAAGAACAGAATTTTTATTTCCGGGATCCATAGCTGAAAACGGAAATTTTTGGTAGAATGTATTGGAATATCGCAAGAACTGTAACAACCCGCAAAGAGTACTAGTAGCCTTAGTACTCATTGACTTATCGATGATAGATATCCTGGTGAGAGTTGCCAGTGTCAGTGATAAAGCAAAAATCGTTAGAAAATGTAAAGTAGTTGCACCATGTACTCCAGGGACCAATGTTAAACATGACAGTAATCCTCCAGAATCCATGTCTTCAGAGAGCATTACATGGGAGATATTGCAGAATATACAACTAAGCGATAAAGAGGGGAATGCTGCCAAACATGTCATTCAAGAATTTCAAGATATTTTCTCATACTCATTTTCTGACATATGTCAAACCAGTTTGACACAGCATAAAATTGATACATAGGACCATCCATCCATCAATAAAGCAGCATCCTAGATGTCTGTCAATTGCTAAACAGGAGGAGGTAGGAAAACTTTTAATGAATATGCAAGAAAGCAACATTATCGAACCATCAGCTAGTCCTTGGGCTTCTCCCATTGTCCTGGTAAGAAAGAAAGATGATTCAACTAGATTTTGCAATGACTATCACTGGTTGAACAAGGTAGTATGGAAATACAACTAGTGTAGCTAGTGCAAAGGATATGTATTTATGTATTTCTTATACTTTATGCTTGTGCAAAGGATATGTATTTATGTATTTAACCAAATGTGTATTTTTTTTTTTTTTTGGTAATTTATCAGCTGAAGAATATGTATTTTTTAAGTTTAACCGGGGTTGCCATGCTACCTGGGAAACCTGAAAAAAAAGGAAGAAGTCAGGGAATTCAGAAATTGACTAAAAAAGTCTGTAGGTGTCTTTCCACACTTGATTTGAAGAGTGGATATTGGCTGGTAGAGATACATCATGATAACTGAGAAAAGATGGCTTTTACTACTGGGCAAGAACTTTGACTGTTCAAGGTGATGCCATTTGGATTATGTAATATGCCGGCAACATCTGAATACCTGATGGAGATCATGTTGAAAGGTTTTTCCTACAAAGCCTGTCTGATATACCTGGGTGACACCATTATCACCATCGTCATCTGAAAGCATTTTGAAGAACATCTAGAAACTCATAGAAAGATGCTTTAGAAGCTGAAAGATGCCATTCTACAGTAGAGTCTCGCTAAATGTGAACTATACAGACAGGAAATGACTTACCTCAGGCGTGTCATCTCAGTCGAAGGTATGAATCTAAAAACAGCATCAGCTGTTAAAGACTGGAGACTTCAAAATGTCCATTAGCTGAGAAGTTTCCTAGGGCTTTATACCTACTGTATAAGATTTCTGAAGGACTTTTCTTCCCTCACAAAATCCCTTCGTAAGCTGACAGAGAGCAAGCAAATATTCCTCTTGGCAAAAGAATGTGAGGATACATTTAACAACCTGAAGGGAGCTTTAACATCTGCTGCAATTCTGACATATCCTTAGCTTGACAAATCATTTATTCTTGATGCAGATGGGCAATATGAATGTCAGTACTGTTTTGTCCCAGGAAATAAATGGTCAACAATGTGGCATGGCATACCAGAGTAAGTTGTCTATCTATACTGGAGAGGAATTACAGGGTTACCAGGAAAGAGTTACTTGCCATAGTTAAAGCCCTAAAACATTTTCATCATTATTTCTATGGCAGAAAATTCCTGCTGCATATAGACCATGCATCTTTGACCTGCCATTTTTCTTCAAGCTTTTCTTTTCAGGTTGAGTTTGTCAGGTATCATCCACCTCAGCTAAATAGCATTTTGCACCAAACCTAATGCTTCCTAGTTCCATTTGTTGAAATCATCCACTTTGTTTATAAAGTATAATACCCCCTTAATAGAGCTCAGGTGTAACTCTTTAGTGTTGACAATACCTTAAGTAGTCAGCATTATCAGAAGTTCAGTTCCTCCGATAATGTTTTTCAGGTATGTCCCTCAATTAGTACAGCCATCTTGAGCACCTAAGAGCCTTCCTGAAGGTATAACCTTCAGGTCTGTCTCTTTTGGCTGTCTTTGGGGCTTTATTTTACTCAATGCTTTTTTTCACATTTCCCCTTGGGTTTTTCAACCCAAGTACCTTTGGCAGTTTTCAGTTCTTGGGCACTTTTTTTTTTAATACTCCTGACATTCTCTTTTTGATTTTATCTAAAGAGGCAGTCATGCTTTTAATAGCTTCCTGTCTTCTCCAGATGTTGATTGAGTAGAGCTCGTTTCTACCTCAGTCGATGAAGGCTTCATTTCTGCTACTTCGATTGATTTCCTCTAGGTCTCCTTCTTTTGAGAAGAAAGGTGTACCTCAGAGGTTTTGTCTTGAAAAGCTGAATTTCTAGTTATATTGTTATTTTCAGCCATATATAAACTAGAAAAGGAAATGCAGGATAAAAAGGTCCACCCAATATTTCCTATTGCTGGGTAAGGCTAAATACTGTAGAAGTTCTCAGGCATTCTAGAGGCTCCATTAAGACACTATAACCGCAGTGTCATTCATCCTAGTCATGGGTCGCACAACACCAAGGTTATAGGAGGGGATTCGTGGCTCCTTATTTGTTATTCAAAGCTATCCGGTCAGATAATATAGGACATCTGGCTCTCCACCACCTGATGACGAGCCTGGTAGCCACTGAAGCCCTTTTAAATTTTAAGAATCCTGAAGTCCACTCCAATAACTCAGAATAACGTCAACTCCAAGGTTAGTGTGATACACTAAAACCTGATTTTTAAATTCCGTCATTTATTGGCATTAGTGATCATTGATCATTGTTTCATTATAGTCAACCATCACATTCAATTACGCAAGCTAATAGTCAGATATACTGTTTTGTATTATAGTGTAAAGATTGTCAATGACAAGTGGCAAGTGCGAATACATCAACAAAAGTCTTTTGATCTGATCTATAATGAGAGAAACAGTAGAAGAGAGAATCTATCAGAGAAAGATCTTCTCATAGAAATTAGTGAGATCCCTACGTTCAGGAGTTTGGATAGAAACATTTACATACAATTTTCTGATGCACTATCGTGAAAATTCCTAATGATCAGACTGATGTTCATTTTTGATTCGAACATGGTTGCAATACCCTCGCAAAATTGCGTGAGAAAAATATGAAAGACAAGGAAGGTATCGTTTTTGCAATTTATAAATGTTTCCTTCGTATTTTTTTTTGCTATGAAATTTTTGATAATTTCTATCTGCATGTATCCAATTCTCTTGTGTTGTTAGCCAGACCAAACTGTGATATACTTTGAAAAATACTTTTTGTCTTGCATATAATTTATTATTTGGCAGCTTTGTACTCATGAGTATCTGTGCCATTTAGTTTTCTTTAGTCTATACTGAAGAAATGGATTTAATGGAATAAACTGCCACAACTTAAACTTACCATTTTACTTCCCAAGCAGTCAGGAAAATTTCATGAACTTTATTACCCTAGGTGAAGTAGCCATGCTGAACCTTGTGTATGTTCTCATGTTGCAGGTTACCCTTAGGCATGCTTTTCTTTGCTAATATTCGTGTTTAGTGATGTAAATATAAGGGAAAGGAATAGCAACTACTTATATTACATGGTTAAAATTTACTATATTAACACAAGCACCCGATACAATAAAGAGTTTAATGGGGTACACGTTGGTGGTTTCATGACTTTTTCAAAAGGA